GCAGTGGACTGACAGGATTTCATTCCGTAGCGTCCTTCTTCCGGATCGTCTTCATCAGTGAAGCTTGAATTCCAACATTCGCATTTAGGGCTTAGTGTTGGAAAATGGGCTACTGCAATCCTAGCCCAGTCTGAGTCAGGCGATTCTTAAGGTTTCCCTGCAAATGGTTCTTTCCGGTAGCTCGTCCATTTGGATGATCTTCAGCCGTGCCAGGATTCGACGCTGTTGTTGAACAGACACCGGTCAGCAATCATGGAAAGGGATTGTGCAAAGCTAGCTTTCAGTGGATTTTTAAAAAGGGTGAAAACAGTTATGTTCGAAGTTATGCTTCGAAATTTGTGAAAATTCATAATTCGTCCCCACATTTTACTTTGTTTTTTTTTCATCTGGATTCGGCCTGTTGTTCGCTGCATACTTGCTTCGACTCGGCCAAGGCGAGATGCGGATTTAATGTACAACTGTATTTTGCACTGGTTGACATCGCAACGCTAACCATCCTTTCAGTGAAGAAATCAGCTTCAAGAGAAAGAATGCAGTGTTTCTACACGATGTACATTCTAAAGAACTAAGCAACATATGAAAGTTATCCTATTGGCCTATTTTCCGCGTTCCAACATCACCTCTCTGCCGAGTACTTTTCCTCGTCAGCAACGCAATGGCATTTGGCTTAAAACAATCTTTCAGCTAAGTTTCGACACCAGTTCAGACCTTGTGAACTCCCTTCACACACATGCATGAAATAAGTGTAATTTATATATGTCAATGCCTGTTGATGTTGTTTCGTACTGAATAGTTATAAAGTTTATAATTAGACTGTAATTATTACAATTATTATTATTACTGCAAACACTGCAGTTCACCTGGATCATTTGGATCGACCAGTAATCGGCGACAAATCGCTCCGGCCACAATATGCCCTCAATTTCCAGCGGTTTCGAGTTTTCAAGCGCGGTCGTCCTGAATTCTGATATAATCATCTCACGGCCATAAACCATTGCCAGCAGCACGGTAAAATTCAAAAGAGGGGCACGGATTTCTCTAGCGATGTGAAAGTGGAGGATATCCTTTATGGAATGGAATGCGGC